GTAACCTTAGTAACCTTCAATCTGCATCCTTGCCAGGAACTACTTTACTTTTATCATTTCATACAACTAAAAAATGAATGGATCATAGATTTCGGAGCTACAGACCAAATAGTTAGTTCCATTGAAATGTTTACTATGTGTAGACTTGTAGATAATTTATTCATACGATTGCCAAACTCTCAAACCATACCAGTTACTCATATAGGACTTGTACATGTGACACCTTCACTTGTTTTACATAATGTCTTATATGCACCTAGCTTTTCACTCAATTTGATATCTATTAGTTATTCATTAAAACATTCTTGTTACTCCCTAACATTTCACAATGATTGTTGTATCATCTAGGAAAACCCGAGGAAGATTGGTTTAGCTAAAGAACAACAAAGATTGTATTATCTTGAAGCAGTAGATTTGAAGAATACAAGTGCTGGAAATTTTATTGTTAAGTCAAATTATGTTGGTTGTTCTTTTGTAAACACAAATTGCTCTGATTGTACTCGTACTTACACTGTTACTAATGAAAATCTTTGGCATTTTTGTCTTGATCATCCTTCAGCCCCGAGACTTCAAATTCTTCATCAAATAAATAAATATGATGTTCCTAGTTCTTTTTCTTCTTGTGATGTATGCCATCTTGCTAAACAAAAAAGGTCTTTCTTTCCTGTCAGTCATTCAATAAGTAGTAATTGTTTTGATTTTATCCATGTTGATATTAGGGATCCTATAAATGTTGCTTCTCTTTATGGTCATCATTATTTTTTGGTAACAAGAGTAGATATACTTGGTTGTACCCCATGAAAACCAAAGCAGAGGCAAGAGGAATTGTAGTCACTTTCTTTGCCTTTGTAGAAACTCATTTTAAGACAAAAATTAAATGTGTTCGATCTGATAATGGACAGGAGTTTAAAATGCCAAAATTTTATGCAAAAAAGGGGGTAATTCATCAATGTACTTGTCCATACACACCGCAACAAAATGGTGTGGTTGAAAGGAAACATCAACACATAACGAATGTGGCAAGATCGTTGAAATTCCAAGTCAATCTTCCAATAAAATTCTGGGTCGATTGTGCATGCAACCTATTTGATAAATATTTTATCTTCTCCGGTCATCAACAATAATACTTTTTTTGAGTTGCATTCAATAAAATTCCTCAATATTAGCATTTAAAAGTCTCTGACTGCTTGTGTTATGCCTCCAATCTTATTTCTAGTCGATCTTACAAGACCATTAAATGTCTTTTCCTTGGATTCCCCGCTCATGTTAAAGAGTACAAACTATATGACATCCAATCTCACAAGTTTTTGTCTCTCGAGATGTTCAATTTGTTGAACATATTTTTCCTTTTTATGTTATTCCTCCTTTGTCCCATACAACATTAGATAAATTTGTTCTTCCTTTCACTGATGATTTAATAACATATTACAGCATTGTGCAACAATCTCTAAAACATCAAGGTAATGCAGATTCTCCCATCTTTGCTGATTCAAATTATTCTGGTAATACATCCATTTCTTTATCACCGTATAATCCTTCTCATTCTCTACCCAGAAGTGATACTGAAAATAATTATAATAATTCTCACATAGAACCTGATTCTTCATTTATTCCAGTTCTCCTTAGAAAATCTAGTAGATCCACAAAGTGTCTATCTCATTTACAAGATTACTATTTGTATGGTCTGAAGCCTCATGTTAATTATGTATCCACTCCGCACTGCATATCTAATGTTCTTTCTTATGATAATATTGCCAGTATGCACAACCCTTTTGTTCTTGCTCTTTCACAAGATATTGAACCATAC